CCTGAGATATTTGCCTGGGGATAGGATGTGATTCCCATTCAGAAATGCTTATGTAATGTTCAAACACATGAAATGTTTCCAGTGCCACCTAGAATCTCAGAGTAGAAAAGGACATAATGTACTGCAGGGTCCATCCCCTGACTCTGGGCAGATGAATAATTTCAATTAAACAAGAATATAGAATTGTAGAGTTCTCCTTTGAGTCCCAAGGAAGACATAACACCTTTGCTCACATGCCTCTCTTTGTGCTTTATACCCTTTGTGACGATCAAGAGTGAGGCATACAGAATTGTCACATGAAATGCTGGGGAGAATTGACATAGAGAAATCACACAGAAGCAACAGAGGCTGTTGGCAGAAAAAGCTTGCAGAGGCTGCTAAGGGAGTTTAGCTGCCCTGCATAGGACACTTAAGTGAGCTGAGCGTGGCCTCCCAGCACTGTAGCTGGCTGGCTGCTGTCTGTCTGTCTGTCAGATAACCACATTGGCTCTCATATCCACCCCATCTTTCCATTTCCACTGGCAATCTCCTATTCATTCTCATTCAAGGAGTACGTATAATGAGAATCTACTCTGCCAGACACTGTAATGCTAAGATAAATGAGACACTGTGCCTTCCCTTGAAAGATGGGAGAGCTTACAGTGTAATGAGGAAGACATCCAAATCATAAGTGATCACAATAAATTTGATCAAAGCAAAATCCACTGTCTTTTCTTATACAAACTGCAACTGTATCCTCCTACCAATCTCCCCTTCCACAAGTCACTGCCACCAACTCACTGTTTGGGCCTCTTCTGCCCTGAAAAGCTTTTAATGCCTTACATGGACTTCTAACCACTTGCTTACTGCTAGTACGTCAGTTACCTCCCACTGCCTTCTTAGAGGAAGCCAGCTCTCCAGCAACACTGTTCTCTCAATAGACATCGCAACAACCTGTGTGTTTTTCTTACTGTCCTTACTTCTGTGTGCAATGACTTCTTCCTCTCTCCAGTCTTTACCTGTCTTCCAGGCTGGGAACACTGCTTCCACCTGGTTTTCCTCCTTCTCCACTACCTTCTCTACGTCCCCCTCCTCTGCTCAAACCAGGTGCAAATGGCTTCTGCCTCTTCTGAGCTTCTACAGCTCTTTACTTGCATAAGCACAATGCTCTACAATTAGAGCAATTAGATTAGAGCAATTAGATTTTTGTCTGTGTTTCTTATCTTCCCTCCTAGCCCCTGCATTTCATTCAGCACTGTATGCTCACTACCGAACACAAGCTTCTAATATTTATTGAAGGAATGACAAAGTTAGAAGGGAATTATGGACTTGAAAGTGAATCATAAGGAAAAAAAGATGAAATTCTGACTGAGGAAAAGGGAATCCAGTATTTCCTAAAGAATAACTGTCAGATTGGTCAGTTTTCTGACATGAAAGTGTGAAGAGGGTCTGACATATTTGTGTCTACATCTAAATATAAGTTTTAAAAATAATGCCTCGAATGTTTTAAAGTAATGAATTTCCCTTTTATTATCTGCAATTTTTCTAAAAGCAAAAGTGGAAAGGCTTCTAGCTTCTACTCTGCATGGTTTGGCTTTGGCTTAAGTGGCAGTCAAGGGAAAGAGCTTGCTATCCTTTATGGGAACATATCAGACCAAATATTTTTAATAATGTATAAATACAATTTTCTCAGTTAAACCTTGTGCTCCTCAAGGACAAGAATGAATTCTGAATTTGCTTTACAAATGTTTCCATTGCTCTCTCAGCACACACACACACACACACACACACACACACACGCTCATACACAGAGCCTGTTATGATGCTGAGCAAAAGAGTAAGTGCATTAAACTCTTCACTACTGGGTGCTCTGTGAGACCCTCACAGTGGAACTCTATAAAATCAGTCCAAGGCAGAGTAATCTGAGGGCCAATCTCCTCTTTCCAAATCCTCTTCTGATAGCTATGAAACCTACTGACACAATTCATGGGCCACAATTCATGTAGCTGGTTAGGTGAGTGCCACCGCCCTGTCTGGGGGATGGAAGGATTTGCTCCCACGTTGTGGCCTGAGGGGATCTGTTGAAGCATATTGGCTTGTACTCTTTGCACCAAAGGATGTAGGCACCAAAGGGAAACACACAACATAAAGAGATTTTGATTAAACTTGTTTCTTTGACATTCAGTCTAGAAAAATACATTCCCCTGTGATTGGGGTGGGGGAACCTCAAGCAAGTCATGGGAAATCAAAGGCTCCATTTCTTTCTTATCCACTTTGAGCAATCTTTCCAAAGTTGCGAGACTTCTGCACTGATGTGTATATCTGCCTGTTACTCTTCTTTTGGAAATGACCCTGCAGAAGAAAGGTGGCCCCCTATGTTTTGATCCAGGACATATAAATGAGTGTACACATGAGAGACATCACATTGCTGACACCATCAAATGTGACTCCTCTAACTGTAACTAGCAGAACTTGGCTTGAGTGCATTGAAGGGTGGGGTGCTATGTTTATAAAAGAATCAAATATACACTTTGAAATAAGGCTATTCTTTTAGCCACAGAATGAAAATAAGGCAATGTAATTTCTTACATATGCAACAACTGCACAGGTCTTAGGGAGGTGATTCTTTATTTCTCAAATCATTGCTTCCTTCCCCCAAAAAAGGACAGGAAGCAGCCTGCCAGATAGACCTATCTAGGTAATTCCCACCTTATCAGGCCTCTTTACTTTGCTTCTCTAAAGGTGATGCTTTCATTTTGGGACTAGGGATGGAACATGGTATGTAGAAACATGCCTGTGCTCTTAGGAAGAAGCCTTAGTGTATCAGAGAGTACATACCAATGCCTTAGCTTACAAATTGTTTGGCTGATGGGTCAGGAAATCAAATCTATCCACAGGGCTTTGTCAAGGTTTGTTAGGGCTTTTAACAACTGTACCTCTCATGGGTGGCCCTGTTGTCCCCAATCTTATCATGTTACCCTGATGATTGCATAAAACAAATCTTGTTTCTCAAATCTTTTCTTTTTGTTTAAGAACAGAGTGGTGGGTGACTTAGTGTTAGCCTGCTTGCCTAATGCACCAGGCCCTGGATTGAATTCCCAGAACCATAAATAAATTTTAAAGCAATAAATTAAATCAAGGGGCTGAGCGACTAGGAAAGCCCAATGGCAACCTGCAGCCATGGCGTCTTAGGTCAGGTTTCCTGGAAGCATGATGAAGTGGTGTTGGCTGCGGGTGGAGGAGATTCCATAGATACCAGAAAAGGGACAGCAAGGAAGCAGATGGCTTGTGCTGAATGTGGAACCAGAGGAAATGCCTGCATAATCCAAGTATTGGGATTACAGAGCTTCTTGTGAGGACAACATAGAGTAGTTTCCTTCTTTATGTTGCCTGGAAATCCCTCCCTGCAGGGAAAATCAGGTTGATACTTTTAGAGAGTGAAGGCTGAACATTCAATTCCTTCCCTGGAAGGAATATCAGGCAGATAAGCTTGGGGCTGTTCAGGACATTCAATCTTCCTATATTCCTTTATGGCCACTGGCCTGCTTCCTACAGCCTCGTAGCAGACCACGGGCAAACAGGCTGCGCAGAGAAAGGATTTTCCCATTAACTCCAGGCACAAATGGTACCCTTCACCCTTTCTCTGCTAATGAGTCCTTAGCTGCATAGTGGCCACACAACAAAACATTTTGACTGAAACTCACTCCAGCAAATGGGGCACCGAATGGAGCAACTAGGATTTGACATTTTTATGATGCCACATGACCACATGGATTACTTTTATTCACATATATGTCTTTTATTGATAGACTGTGTGTGCACACAAAGTATGTAGCTGCACAACTGAATTGGAGGCAGCATTTGTGCATAGCCTTAAATACAATTTTGTCCTAAAAATACAGCCTCGCCCTTCTCCCAAGCCTATCAAAGGCTGGCATAGGTTTTCAAGTTTCAGCACTTACGTAGACTGAGTTCTTTAAAACTAAGTGGATTAACACTAACTACAATGCTGTTCTATGTCACTGGGGTGGGGGGGAGCGGAGCCAGAAGTCCACCATTGTGTCCAGGCTGTATCCTGCTCATTTTGGGTAAAAAGAATACAATTGTTTAACATTTTTAAAGCAAACCAAAGTGCTTAAATATTTTGCAATTTGCAACTTGAAAAGAAAACAGTAATGGGTTTCCAAGTGCATGTCTTTACTTTTAATGAAGTGTTTATTTTTCATGGTTCTATTGGCAATAAAAGAACAGCTCCACATCAAAAGCCTTCAGGGAAGTAGTTTGCATTTGGAGGACAGTTAGATTGCCAATACTGACTTTTTTAAAAAATAAACTCACTACCCTATATTTCTAGATATGGGTTATTGCCTATTATCCCAGGTAATTGTTATCTTTTTGTCTCTTACTCATACAGGCAAATTACAAAGCATTATGTACTATACTCCAAAAAGATAAAAAGAATTTAAGTGACACCAAGATCAGGGGGCTCCAGGATGTTTTAAAGAACATGTTTCCATTATCTTCTGTGTTTGTTCATTTTGTTGGAAGAATGATTCATTCATTTCAAATTTGGCAACTTAAGCAGCAGCAAATTATGATTTCCCCAGAACAATGCAAAGTTCTTTCCCTTTGACAATAGCACCCTCTGCTGGTTTTTGTAATCCATCACATCTAATAGGATCATTCCAAGTTGCAAAGGGAGGCCTCCCTGTGTTGCACGTTGCACACGGGAGGGCATGATTCATAAATCAGTTTTCCACCCTAGCGATTCATTCCCAGAGATATTTTTTCTGTAAAACAGCATAGCTCAACGAAGTCATCAAGAATTCGGAGGCTTCAAAAAACTCCTTCGTTTGATTAATCATCTCCCTGACCTTTTTTTTTTCTTATTGAACAAGGTTAATAATACTTGTTATCAGTCATAGTTAAACTGTATTAGCTGCTGAGTGGTTTTGTATTTTTGCAAAGGCCTGTTATCACTGACAAGAGATTTCCAAGTTGGGATTGGTTCTATTCTTCAGGTATGACCCCGAGGGACACCTGACCAACGCAACGTTTCCCACTGGAGAGGTCAGCAGCTTCCACAGTGACCTGGAGAAGCTAACAAAAGTGGAGCTAGACACTTCTAACCGTGAAAACGTTCTCATGTTAACCAACTTGACAGCAACTAGTACCATATATATTTTAAAACAAGGTAAGACTGTTTGCAACTTTACCTGATAGGAGAAGCACCTAGTTTCAACTACCCTCAAACCGATGCATAGCATTAGTAAATAGAATTCACCTCACACTGAGAAGATGGATTCTTATCCTGAGGTTTTAGCCAAAACCCAGACAAGTCCACACTGTTCACGTGTTCACATATTTTTGGGCCCCATATCTGTGGGCAGAATGAGGTTAAACCCCTGCCTAATTTGCTCTTCCATCAAATCATTTTCCAACACCCAGCTGTTTATAAAGCTCTTTTATGATCTGACTGGTTTATATAAAAGTAATGGAGTCTGGGCACCAGCTGCACTTAGCAGTCTAGATCAATGCTGACACAGGCGAATAAAGGACAAATTAGGGTACACACCAAGGAAGAACTGAAGTAAAACGAGAGAATTAAAAGCCGTTCCATGCAAATAGAGTACAATGAGAATCAGTGGGATTCAAGAGATAAGGAAGATATGATTTAGAAAAAATACATTGGAAGCCAGAGGGGAAGCAGATAAAGAGAAATTGCTGCCTCTCTGCCCAGTCACGAAGGACTCATTCTGGACTCCTTGTCCCATTGGGAGGCCACACCTCAAAGGGGAACAGCACCAGGTGTTGTCAGTGTTAGCACTTTGTGGGGTACAGCAAGTGTGCTGATGTCCCCAGGTGGTATGCTGGGCTGAACTTGACACTCTTCTCACTCTAGCTTGCAACATACAATGCAGTTGATCCAAGAACTCAGAGAGCGAGTTTATGAAGAAATGATTTAAAAAGAAAAACAGAGCATGCAATGTGAGACAGCATTCTTTTATCCATGAAAGCACGTAACCCAACTTTCAAACTAATGAGACCAAAAAGGAGAAAGTGTGTGGGCTTGGCAGAGTGGACGTGTAAGCCAGAAGGCAGCTAGGTCCACAGTGTCATACTCACACATCCCTTCCCAAACGTGCCTCCAAATCTAAACTTGTCTCTTCGTGACTCCTTTCTCTCTCCCCTTTCATGCCCCTTCCCCTTTGCTCTTCCACCTACAGAAAATACTCAGAGCACCTATCGAGTGAGTCCAGATGGTTCACTGCGGGTCACCTTTGCCAGTGGGATGGAAATCAGCCTCAGCTCAGAGCCTCACATCCTGGCTGGGGCAGTGAACCCCACCCTGGGTAAATGCAACATCTCTCTGCCTGGAGAGCACAATGCAAACCTCATTGAGTGGCGGCAGAGGAAGGAGCAAAACAAAGGCAATATTTCAGCTTTTGAAAGGCGGCTAAGGGTAAGGCTTGATGTTATACAAGTTATCAAGCTTTGTGAGTTTCTTTGGAAACTGCAGATACTTCCTAAGCCCATTTCTCCAAAGGTTTTGTAGGTAACTGACTAGCTGATACGACATGCTAATTCAAGAGACTGTGTAATGGCTGATAATAGTTCACTATCCTTAAATGAGCATTCTAATAGGCGCTTTCTTTGTCATTAGCCAGCTAAAATGCTGTAGTAGTAGCAATTTTAGGCACCAAGAGTGTCTAGCTAGCAAAATATGTTTAGTCAGAGAGCACTGCAGTTCCTATCTCAGTATATTCTGAACATGCTTATCGAGTCCTCCAAGTTGATCCAGTTCCCTGCTTTTGGCTAGTTCTTAGAAAGACTGGGCACACAGAAAAAGATACAAAGGGGGCTGATGAGATAGCTCAGAAGACCTGCTTAGACAAGCTTAGGTAAGTGCAGGTACCGTGGTTGAATCTCCTACACCACATGCCACACCAGCCCCGCCCCCAGGGTCAGGGCATAGTGGTGCATGACTGTAATCCCAGGCTAAAAATAAAGAGGACCACTATGAGGCTGAGCTGCATAGTGACACCCAGTAACAACCAGATACATTAAAAAAGAAAAAGATACCAAGCATAAGGAGTAAAATACAGTGAATAGAATTACTATAAAGTCATACTAAGGGCCAGTGAGCACAGTGCTAGCACTGAGACTCATCTGGAGTATTCAAAGAGGTTCATGGAGGAAATTTAAGACTTTTAGACTTTTCAAATCCTTACCAAGCATGGTTCACCCCAGTTAACCAGAGACCTCTGTCAGAATTTCTTCTTTGCAGTACACAAAGCCTACCAGCATGGAAGCACTCTACCTATATCTCTTCTTAAACATTAACCAATGATAGCAAGATGGGTCCCACTTTCCAAATACAGTGACATTCACTATCAGCCTTAAAGCAACTGCCAAGCTGTAGAACACATTCACTATTGACATCTAGCCTAACTTGGGCACAGATTTCATGCCTAGGATACTGGAACACTTGTATTTTCTTAACTTGTGGTACAAATTTGATAACCTTAAGGCTCTAGAAATATAACCACCAAAAAAAATTCAATTCCAGAGAGAAGCAGGTAAACCAGTCATATGGCTTGGTGTGGACAAAATAGTCTGCAAATATACTCACTTTTCAATAAGCTCTATTGGTAACACAGAGTTCTGTACTGTTTTCTGTAATAGCTACTGAAGTTGTCTAAGTCATAAGTCAATTTGTATGTTTCAATTCTATTGAACACTCTCTAACAGAACATTTACCAGATATGCCACTGAATTGAAAAGTGAAACCAGACCAAATTTTCAAGCCTCTGTGTGTGTGTGTGTGTGTGTGTGTGTGTGTGTGTGTGTGTGTGTGTGTAGCAGGAAGGATTTCTGTCAGAGTTCTTCCAAAAATCAGATTTCCTGATCTCCTGGGTACAGTCTTTGAAAGGAAAGTTAAACAACCTCACTCATAGCCAGTCTTCCACTTGTGTTAAGAATTTATTGTATTTTTTCCTGTGGAATTAAAATATACCACTAGAAAAAAGTCAGAATAGTCTACAAATGACTTATCAAACTAGTGGATTCACCACAGGAAAATAATATGTTGAATAAGTAATCTGTTAGTGCTTCCCCTAGTTTATAACCTCAATAAAATATTAAAAATCAAATTATATACTGTATGACATTGTGATTTTTGATTCTTTGGGTAGTCCAACCTATACTATGTGACCTTGAGGCTTTCTATTTTCTAAGATAATCTGCCAGGGCTCTCCCTTCCATACACACAGAAAATGAAGAAAAGAAAACAATAAGCTGTGATTTACAGCCTATACCCAGAATTCTTAATATTGAGAAGCTAATAGTCTTAAACATTTTGGAGTTCTTTAGTATTGAGGGGTCAAATGTTTAGCTAATAATAATTATAAATTGACACTTTTAATGCTGTGGTATATTTGGACAGCTTTTAACAAATTCGAGGCCTTCACCTCTATGTGATTTCTATGGCAGCTCCCAAGATCCTGGACCTAATGAATGGAATCCCTTACTGGCTAGGTGGTGTTACTGTGTTGGGCAAGAAACCTAACAACAATAACAATCCTTTGTGTATATTCAGTGCCTCAGAGTTAACCAAATACTTCCACAGCCAAGATTTTATTTGACCACCATGGCCATCAATTGTTATTATTCCCAATTTACAGATAAGGAGACTAAGGCCCAGTGAAGTTAAATGATTTGCCCAAAGTCAAACAGCTATTAAAGTACAGAGGCGCAGCTAAAATGCAGGTCTTCACCTAGCATAACACTCTTTCCAATGCATCATGTTGTGCTGCCTTGTTCCTTAAAATAATTAATCTATAAATCATTGCCCCATTCAGCAGAGCCATGTTGGCGGGGCCTGGCTCCTCATTTCAATGCTGACAAAAGGAGACAAATAATCTATTGTAATGTACTAGCCAGTGTGGGTGGTACGGGACAACTGGCCGCCCTCCAG